TATAAAAAGTTATGAGTGTTTTTCGAAAGGCCAAGAATTTTCGAAGTTTTTGGACCTTTTCAGTATTTTGCATTTTTCTCCCCGAAAAAAAGGTTTTTTTCAACTTTCAAGGTCATATTCGTGATCACCATGCTCTGGCAAATCCGAATATGTGTCTTTTATCGAAAAATTTTGCTTTGCGTGCACCTTACATTCAGAATCAAATATTTGACTAGAAAGACATGGTTCGTATTGATCTATATGGAGAAATTAGATTAATTTATTTAATCATTTTGACGGCTGGTACAGTTCAAATTTAAATCGATTTTTGTTGTCGAATGACAGCTAAATATTTAGATAAACTGTAGAAATGTATACTAATTTAACAGTGTTATTTACCCGAAAATTTACCAGTTTACAAATTGCTGAATAATTTATACCTTTATTTCAAGTTTCATAAGTTAGCTTTATCAACTAGGAAATTGCTGTGACAATAGCAGGATGACCAGATGGTAAATGATTTAAAATAATTTCCAGTACGAATTCGACAAGCACGAAAGGAGTTTCATAATCACACCGATTATGGAAAGTCTCATTGATCGTTAGCAACAGGTATACAAGGAATCCTCCATTTATTGTTTTGCTAATGGCAGGACTTTTTAAAAATTTTAAACAGTTAAAACTACATAATAAATAAGAGTAAAAACGTTAAAAAGTTTTCATAATTATTGTTTCGACGAACTATTTTTCGCACATAGTGCCGCTCATAAAGCTTGCTTTTTAGATTGATCGATACTTAACTATAGGTGCGTTCAAGCTTTATTGGGTCTTTTTCCTAAGTAGATTTCGACAAATTAGTTGTTGTTGACTAAGTCACTTGAAATCTAGCCTAGTATTAGTAGAGAGAGAACATCATGCACTAGCGTAGAAAATAAAACGTGGATGAAAAGTGATATCAAATCAATAAAACTCATGTAGTATGTCGAAACTGCTGTAAAAGTCGATATAAGGATATACGTTTGACGGTAAAAGCGCTGCTTTTTAATGACTATAAGTACCTCGTTTCTCCGTCATGACACGTTCATACTTGCCCATTTCTACGTCGTCCGAATGCTGTAATCAGCCTATAAAATGACTCCTACAATTGATTCAACCAATGGTGTCATTTTACATCGTAATTATATCATTTGAATGAGATAAAAATGATTAATTTATGTTTTATAAATCAGATAAAAATGATGCTTTTATGATGGTCGAAAACGAGCGTTTGTCGGCTATTCAGTTAATGATGTAAAAATGGCTCATCATTGTCTCAGAAATGACACTAAAAGGATTTTAGTATACAAGTTCAGTTTTATTTAGTAAAATGAATGGTCTAAAATACGGCCGAATAACGGTGCCATTTATGGGATAATGGCCAAATTCATTCGCAATTAATGACTCATTAATCAGCCATAAAAGAGTCATTTCTTATCTCGTTTACCTTGTGCTGCGTTATAACTCACGAGGGAACGCCCCCAAATGTCTCGTTTTTTTTTTAACGAAATGTAGGTTATAAGTAATCGACAAAAACTCAAAAATCACCACAACGTTTTCTAAGTAATGATCGTAGTCCGCGAAACTAATCAAAATGAGACATCTAACAGCTCTACACGACCTTTCTTTGCAAACTTCTCGAGTTTACAAGAAAAGCCCTGCATGTTCATGGTCACCTCAGAGCTACAGAAAAAAAAAGGAAACAGGAATTTAGGGCTTTTCTTGTAAACTTTATAAGTTCACAAAGATCGTGTAGAGCTGTATGATGTCTTATTTTGATCAGAATTTCGCTGGCCACAATCACGGCTTATTCAGAAAGCGTTTCGGGGATTTTTCGAAATTTCTGGACACAATTTCCATCCGAAAGTTTTCTAACGACTAGAAAAGGTCTATGGACCCAAATGAATATCATATTCGAAATTAGCATGGTTAATTACCTATAATCTACCACATTTCGTGAAAAAAATGGGAGGACATTCAAGGAGGTACCCTGATCAGTTATTAGGAGCCGCTCGAAGTTACGAAACATCCCATTTTGTAGAGAAATATTCGCTCAAAACTTCTTATTCGGATTTGTTATATTTAAAATAGCAGCATTGTGAAAGACAGAGACTGTTGTCAAACAGTTACACGGTTTTGGATGGATTGTATTTTCAATTTAGATTAACAGATTAGTAAGAATATTTTTCGAATATAGTATGTTGTGTAGGGCGAATATTTTTCTAGGAAATGAGGTGTTTCGTCACTCTGAGTAACTCTTAATAACGGACTTATAACAGTTTACCTACATGTCCAAACACATGTTCTGAAACTGGTATATTCGTACTTTCGATGAAATGGTTTGACTTTACTTCATTTGAGCTTTTTGAAGTATTTTTTATTCTTTAACTAAATAAAATCACTATCTTGTGAACAAAAAATAGGTAGAGAAGAGATAATTTCAAGTTCAAAGACGTTCTGCTATCTCCTGTTGATCACCATCGTTTTCATTCACAACTTTTTCTTTCGTATCATTCTGATTAACACCATTTTGCTTGGCTTTTGTTTCGTCTACTTCATCAACCACCTCTCTATTATTGTATCCATTTTTTTTATTTAAATCGCGCTGATGATTGGATTTTTCAATTTTCTTCTTCTTTTCATTGTGAAAATCTTTGTCGTACTTGTTTTCTTTAAATCCTTCAAAATATCGTCCAGCAATATATGATGAAATAATGGTGGCAACCATTATAAATACCGTAGTCGACATTAGTAATCTTGAACTAAAATATCCAAAGAGTTATATTAAAAGGGAGAAAGCATACTCCATACTCCGCGTTTTCCCAAACCTTCAAGATATTCCACGGAGTCCTCGAAGTACACTGGAGTGTGCGGACTACAGCACTAGTACTTCGAGGACTCCTTGGAATACGTTGAAGTTTAGGTAAAATGTGAAATACGGAGTACGCTTTTACCCGCTTGGTTATCTTTATTCGTTACAGTGCGGAAGAGAATGAGCTATTTACCTGTGATAATTGAGTAACGATTCACTACCATAAGCACACAGTGTCCAAAAGAATAAAAACCACGATAAGAAGAGTGTCACTGGTGATATGTAATAATGACGGCGAAAAAACGGACGATAAGCATAAAACATCGTGAAAACTGTACCAGCTAAGATAAGAACCAATGAAAGTTGAAATAATAAACTTTTTTAATAAAAATAATGTGATTTTATGGCATGAAATTTGCTAGCACATACCAAGTAGAAAACATGAGCCAAAAACTGCTAGAACAATCGCAAGTGTATCGTCATAGACTTTAGTGGGACAATCTCCATGTATTGATGATCTACATTGTTGAAATAGACCGTAGGAAATCCACGTTGCATTCGAATATCGTGGATAGTATTCAATGGTCCAATTAGGTAAACGAATTGCTAGAATAGCCATTAGTAGACCGATAAAACCAAATAAAGCTCCCACAGCTGCCAAATGACGGTTGTATATATCCATCTGTAAAGAAGAATGAGAATCTGACTATCGCAAAAAGCGCAATTAGAACACTAATCCATATTAAATCAATGTCTTTTCCAATGGTTGTAATGTCACATTCAGAAGCTGACTTACTTTGGTTACCCTAAATATTTCTGAAATATGTATATATCAATATTCACAATATAAAAATACAACTTATATAGAGAGATTGAGATATATAGAGTCTATCTTTTCTTTCCATTCAAGATTTGATCAAAGAAGACGATGCGTATCATGGACGAACTACATAATTCGACAGTTACCCAGTCAAAATTGTTCAACAATTTCACAAGATAAAAAATTAAAAAGTTCATTCAACCGTAAAAGGAAAGAATGTCAGTCATTTAAAACGCTAGAAATTATTCCATGTGTGAAAGTAATAGAAAATCAATCAAAAAATTAATATAAAAATTTAAGCGAATTGTACTAGTAATTGATTTAAACATATATTCGGCATGTAATCTAACGTAAAATTCACAAAATACTAATATATCAGATGTGTCTATATTCGAGAGTTTTTCTGATACCCGTTGTAAAAAAGAAGTCCGTATTTTAAAGAATAATGAAAGCTCTCAGTAACCGCAAAAAAACAATCAGGATGAATAAAGGTTTACGAAAATATCCTTTAATCATTTTGGAAAAGGTTTTTTTAACCACTCCGAAGGTTAGTTAAAACATTTCACAAAACTTTTTTAATCCGACTCAATTGGATTTCGTCTTAGTACGTTTACTGCTTCTTGCCTTCGGTTTTTCTATGAGTTTGTAGAGGATACTTTGAAGTATATATTTCAATACGTTTTTCTGTTATTGGATCTGGAGTTTTTGAAAAAATAATTTTTTAAGTTTAGTCTCAGTTTTTTGTTCTATTTTTAAAAGTTTAATAAAATTGTCAGATTTCTACATTTAATCTCGATTTTGATGTCAATCGGTAGAGAACATCAGGATGTATCTACAACAAAATTCGGTCAAACTTTGACTGAGTTATTCCGCTTTGATCTGCCCTGTGACATTTTGGAGCAAAAAGTATTTTTAAAAACACTCGGAATCAAATTCCGTTCGAAGGAAGCATTTTCAAGGAAAAATGTGGGTCTGAAAGTTGTTCAGAATCAGATTCCCTGGAACTTCCAGGGAATCTGATTCTGAACAACTTTAGTAAACCAAGATTGTTTTTGAGTCAGAAAGAACATTTGCGGCCAATGTGTTATGATATGTAAAGTATTTTTATCTTCAATTGATCTAGAAAAATTATTTTCTTAAAAGCGTTATTCACAGTACCCAGGTCCAAGAAAATGGCACCGTTAACGGTAAGTTAACGTGCCGTAAATGGACCGTTTTTAGTTCCTAAACGGACCGTTTTTAGAACCTAAAACTCGTAACGTTTTAGGGTCTTAAATAAATCGTTTTTTCACCGTTTACGGATCGTTTCTAAACGTTTTCTTACCATTTAGTGGCTGTTTATTGACCGTTTACTGGCCGTTTTTTTGTTGTTTTGAGAACGTTAACGGGCCGTTTTTTAGAAGTTATATTAACTCCTAAAAAATTTTCCTTCGACTTCGTGATATTGACTTATCTGTC